TTTATAAATTGTGTAGTGCTAAAAATAAATTACAACAATTAGGTAATGTGCAACTATCAGGTAATGCAACTATTAGGTGAGATTTCATGTAAAGATTGTAATCATAAATATATTGGCCAAACTAGAAGATCAATGTTAACTAAATTTAAAGAACATATGTTTTAGATAAGATATGGTAGACCGGATAAATTAAACAAGTCTCAAGTTACAGGTCATTAGATACATATGAGAGTCAAAATTAATAAATGTAAAGATTATATGAATATGATATAATGGTCCAATTTCTTCTAGTTCTTTGTTCCTACTGGGCTAGAAAAGGAGCGAACACTCCACGAACTGGACCGTTCTGCTTCCCAAAGTGAAAACCAACTTAAAGAGTAATTCAAGAACCTGGAAGACTCCATCCATTACCTGGAATGGGATTCCTCCAACGGTCTAAGACACTCGAAGAAATTTCTCAGGACTTACAACCAAGAAGAATCAAAGATTTTCCTTGACTTAAGTAAGAACAATCTTCGGATTGGCAAGGGGTTTTTAACAGGATACTGTCTCCCCAATGAACATCTCAGTAGATTCTGTGGGGAAAATGGGAAGACACCAGAACGCCTCATCACTGAGTGCCCGAGACGACAACCGTCCATTCCTGCCATAAATTTTAGTACGACTGATACTGGAGATTGAGAACTAAACTCTGTAAAACCGTCTCAGACTACTAGCTTTAGTCAAAGCTCTGAAGTTGTATGATGAATTATAACTCAAGAAAGGGGGACACAATATAACTTATAACTTATATAAATATCTATTCTTTCAAAATATTGCTTTTTATTTATAATGTAATATTTTAAATAAGCTATATTTATCAATTTGAGAAAGTTTGATATAGTCTAAGTGGAAAATCTGCCTTGATTTAAATAGGAAAATCGGAAAAGCAATTTTCTATCGGTTATACAAGCGAGTCACCCTTAGAATACCCAAGGGATTAGCTGAGGTGATGAGAAATATCGAGTTATATGCCGGTTACCAGGGGGTTACAGCCAGCCAGGTAGGTAATTATTTTTTAAATTAATTATTGACGAAGCTGTCACGTTGTGGCCATGGCAAGTTATTAAAGTTAGTGGCCGGTAAAATATGGCGGATGTTGATTATCGGCATGAAAATGTCGTTAAACTATTACGTGACCGCACTGCGTTACAATGAAAACAGCTATTATCGAAAAAGGTTTTGGTTGCGTTCAGTTCAGGAACACTGAAAGTTAATTTAATTAGAGACATTCAATAAAACTAAATAAAAATTCCACAAACCTATTCGAATACCGTTTTGTTTTTTTATTATTTTAACACTTTGTGATTCAAAATATACTTTTTTTAACGTTTTTTGAATGTGGTAGATAATGATTCAGTACCCAAAAAATTCCTATATGAGTATTTTGCCACTGCAAGAAAATCTACAAAATAAAATAGTTATTTTTTGTAAACACACACTGCGTTAATCCAAACGGAAACTACTTGTCACAAGTTAGTAGGTCACAAGTTAGGTTTACAGATATACAAATTTGCCTAACGAACAAAAAAAATGCTTAACGTTTCAGAAAGTTTATTTCTTTCCGTCGCCGGAAGCAAAAAAAAATACAAAGAATAAAGAAAAAAATATTTAAAATATTTAAATTCAACCATTCGAGAACATTTTAGTTTTTTAAAACAGATACGTCTACAAAATCGTTGACGTTCTGTTAAAATGACATGATATCAAGTTAAACTTCAAAATTAGCAATTACTACCTGATAACAATTACTTAGTAAGGTAAAACCAAAAAGACCCAAACTTTCTGTATGATTATTTTTAATTTTTACGTATGCCATGTTTATTTATGTTATGTTCTTTAAAATCAAAGAAGCGATTGCCATACATTACTAACATCTACAGATGCATGAGCAATACATTTATTTTTATTAAATTGTATTAAAAAAACCTCTTTTATTTTTGTTTTAGAGGCTACCGCTTCTTTCATTATACTTTTGGCGTTATTAAAATTTATTCTGTGCCCTGTGTCCTATGAATGCTGACAAATCTTAGATTTGTGAAAATATCCCTTTCTTAAATAATCTTTATGTTCTTTAATTTGAACATTTAGGGGTCTTGATATTGTATATCCGCCATATAGGTATAGCCATTTGTTAATCATTCAGTATTAAAACTAAAAAAATAGGATTCCTTTTCTTCTTTAATTATTTTAACTGACACGAGGAATGTTTTAATGCAGATAAATTTATTAAAGGGCTAAACAAAGAATAATTAATCCTAGAAATATACGGAAATGCACGTTTGTTACTGAAGTTCGAGATATTAAAATTGTTTCCTTAGTTTGGAAACAAAATAAATTTACTCCCAGGTTGTGCAATGCATCTAGCTGCTCGAATTTATATTCAGACAGATCATAGATTTATATTACTGAGAAACTGTTATTAGACATAGTATTATTACAGGGTGACATAAATTTATTTTCATACTAAACCTGGCAATAGAACGTGACTGACATGTGTGTATAGACCTTTACATATTATCTTATACCATACGATCGAAAAAAAAAATGGCGTCTTAGACGGCTGGGGAATGTTGCACGCCGTCTTTGACGCCGTTTTTTTTTCGATCATATGATATACTATCCTTTATTTTAACGTGGGCATCATCATCTTAAAAATCATCATATTAAAAACTTGAATTCCCAAAAAGAAAATTTTATATAAAGCTTTTTCGGACGAGGATACGTATAAAAAATAAACAAAAAATAAAAAAGTAACAAAGCTACTTTTACTTCTACCGTTTATCTCCGGGCTTAAAAACTTTTGTTTATCATTTTCATATTTTTTCTAGATTAAAATTTGAAAGAGAGTGGGCGTGATAAAATGCTTAGGGCATTTTTTTTATTAAAACACAATCTCTGTTGGGATTTAAAACGGTTATATAGGTTTTTTTTAACAAATATATTCCATTAAGGTCTTTATACATTTAAACGATTTTGGTTTCATTTTAAAACGAAGGAATAAAATAGTTATTTGTGTACCAAGGCCGTAAAGTTGATCTTTTTTGACTGAATCTGAAATTTGCAAGCCTTCTTATCGCACCTCTACACCCTAAAATCAATCCGTTTTCCAAAAATTAGCTTCTTACGTCAAGCGCTTTAAGCAGGATCGTGATTAATCAATGACCAGATTTTTCAAAACACCCTGTATACATTTTTAAAAATCTTAAAATATGTAAAAAAACAAAATATACGTGTTTAAGCGTTTTTTCGGAAACTTTGAGGGGTGCTTTCACCCCCTTGGAACTGAAATTTCGAAAAATCCCTTTTTATCGAACCTCTACACCCTAGAATCAACCTGTATGTCAAAATTGAGCTTCTTACGTTAAGTGGTTTGAGCAGGATCGTGATTAATCAGTGAATCAGTCACTTAAGGATTTTATATATTAGTATAAATATAGCATATTCAGTAAACAATACAAGCCCTTGTGAAACGATCTGTTACAAATAAAAAACAAACAATTGTAAAGCCGAATAATCAGAACGTACAGCATAATTAAGGACAATGCATTGAATCAATATCCGGTGCCACGTCAAGATTGACAATGTCAAATGGAGATGTATTAGATCAGACCACAGAGCGCACGGCCCTGAAGCCAGAATGCGTAATGAGCCAGATACTAAAGGCCGGTAATCCCGAGACGTGCTGGAACAGATAGAGCCACTAGATAGAGGTACGTGTTGGAGACTGAAAGGAGGAGCCTCATTTGAACGGGCCTAATGAAATATGTACGGAAATTAGGATAGAGATGGCGGAATACAAATCGAGCTGGGTAATTTAGAGTCTGCTTATCGCTGCAACAACACGGAGTCTTCTCTAGACAAGTGTATAAATGTTTGTGTGTGTGTTTACGAAGAAAAACATGATGAAGTACATTTTCCTTAAGCGTGTTGCTTGTTTTCGTTTACTGCGTTACATTTCTTAACTTGATATTTTAAAACATGGAAGGTTTAGTAACAACTATTTATCATCATCAGTTATGAAAAATTAAGCTTTGTATACATTGAAATGTAATTTTTTTGCTAGATAATGAAGTATTTTAAATTAGGAATATTAAAAACACTAATTATTGTAGGAAAGAGTAAATTAGTATTAAATTTACGACACAACCTGAGTGGTTCTGATAGACATTTTTTTGGAGCTTTATGATAGGCTTATAAAGATTTTAAATACAATTTTGACAATAACATATATGTTACAATTTACCAATTAAATTCTGAAGTATGGTATTTCCATTTCTCCATCGGTACCAATCAATGGTACCAATGCATCGCTCCCTCTAAAAAGACTCCAATTTAATTCAGTGTAATTTACAGTTGAGGTTTGGAACAACAGAAAAATAAAACACTAATTCATTACAATACACCAAAACACTTTCCTTTTGCACTGAACTCACGTTTCGCTAGCCATGATAGCAAAAAATCGCTAGCCATCATCAGCAGATGATTAAAACTAAACTAATATCTACAAATTTAGCGTTTATATAGAGGCTCAGTTGGCACTGGCTCGGCTGAGTTAAAACCAACCGAACGTAACTATGACCGAACCTAGAACAAAAGAAACAAAGAACTACTAAGTGTACTCGTAGTAGTTCTTTGTTCGTAGAATCCTACTAATATTACTAATGTAGAACTACTACTCATATACTTATTCAAGTGTTTTATTCCCTGGGTGAAGACGAATCATGTTTAAAACTAAAATTTTGGTTTTCAATTTTTAACAAAATTTACCTTTTTAGAATTTTTAAAATTTCAGCAATACAATAAATACACTTGCGGTAAATTATAACGTATTATTTCCCCATCAGACACAAACAATACCATTTGATATAATATAATTGTCGTCTGGTTCACCGACAGGAAATAACTATTGTCGACCGATTAATAACTCATTCGCTCCTCATCAGTCTATCGATTTTCAGGTGAACATCAGCAATACCTGGATGCTTCCGGAAGAGGGGTTTCCCGTGTTCTACCGCTACTTCCGGGATCGTATTTCTTGGTACGAGGCCGACGCCGTCTGTCAATTCCACCACGCCAATTTGGTGACCGGTAAGTGGGAGAGATTAGTTGCGACGTTGCCAAACTGGGCCTAAAATATTATTTATCATAACTCTAGAATCTATGATTAACACTTATTTAAAGACGATCAGTAAGTTCATAGTTTTGTACTGTTAATTTTAAGTTATTTTGTTAATTGAACTATTTTTTATTTAACGTTTTAAAAGAGTATTATATTAACTATTAGCACATTGTGTGGAAATTATTTACCCCTTCCTTTACAAGTAAGAATTATTGTACTGAACTACAAGCAAGATTATATATACAGGGTGGTCCGAACTGTATTCCGGAAACTTCAGCAGCATATTCTGCAGACAAAAATAAGTAAAAAAGTTCTTATAAATGTATGTCCTAAAATGCTTAGTTTCGGAGATACAGGGTGTAGAAGTTTCATTTCTATTTCGATTTTTTTCAAATAATTTGTGAAGTAACGTCAATATTTGGATGAAATTTGGTCTCTGGGAGTTTTTTGATATGAGAAATTCGATTTTGATGTCAATGTGACACCTACTTGGAGAGGGCGCCACCTACATATTTTTAACTGGTTTGAAGAGTAATAACTTTTCGTCCTTACCTGTATGGACTACTAAGTTAGTATAAAGCTACTAAGTAAAAAATAGACATTTACGACGTTTTTAACGTAAAAAAGATCTCTTAATAAAAATCGCTACGAGTAATAGTTGTCGAGATATTTGAAATCGAAATTATCAATGCCTGTCATCATTGACATCAATTATAAACATGTTGACTAAATAGTTAACAGACGGAAATCATAAATTTGAAATGTTTTTGTGCCAAATCATTATCAATCATCATTTTTTCGAAGAAAATTTTATGATTAATTTAAAGAAATAAAAATTTCCCAAATTTATCATTTTAGTCAAATAACTATCTACTCAACTTATGTTTATTTTTTGTCAATAATGACATGTATTGACTATTCCCATTGTAAAGATCTCGAGAAGGCTTGCTCGTAACGATTTTTACCAAGAGACATTTTTGACGTAAAAAAATATGAAAATGTATATTTTTTTACTGGGCAGTTCTATACAGACAAAAAGTTATTACTCTTCAAAACAGTTAAAACACATGTAGGTGGCGCCCTCTACAAATAGCAGTCATTATGACATCAAAATCAAATTCCTTATGGCAAAAAACTATATCAGACACCAATTTTCATCTAAATATTGACGTTATTTCAGAAATTATTTGGAAAAAATCGAAATAAAAATGAAACTTCTACACCCTGTATCTCCGAATCTAAGCATTTTAGGACATACACTTATAAGAAGTTTTTTACTTCTTTTTATCTGCAGAATATGTTGCCGAAGTTTCCGGAATACAGTTCGGACCACCCTGTATATACGTAGTATACGAGGTGATTCACGGCGATGCGATGGTACGTTAGATGTTTGTGGAGAACCGGTGATTTTTACATATCTAAAATATTTTCAGGGTTGTAATGTCGCTGCATGAATTGAGAAGTGGTAACCTCAAAAAACCTCATAGACGTATTTCTGGGGTTGAAATATACAACGCCTAAAAATATTTGCACTTATTTAAGATTCACGACTCATCTTGTATAAATCTACCTCATCCAATCAAGAGATAGAAAGTGTAGAGACAGCAGGTACCTCTAGGACGTCTAATTCCGTTAGAAAATTTGCACGAGGGTATTATTTAAGTACGAGAAACGTACTGAGCCTGTCTAATAAGATTACGCGTTCCTACTAGCGCGCATAAATATATTCAGCACGAGTTAGTTCTCTCTGCAAGAAATTCACGGTGTAGAGTTCTAGTTAATCGTGTTAAAGGAATTTGCGATGCCTCGAATAACTTATTTTGATATTAACTCAGCCAAGAATAAAAAGAAGTGAATATTTAAAAAATAGTAATTTTTTATACAAGACGATAAAATGGTATTTTATCGTCGACCGGAAAGAATAATTGAATTAATTTCGGAAGACGTTAATGCAATTTTATCGTCGTGTATAAAACAATATTTTTTTCCATAGGGAGTTACGTTTTAAAAATATTCAGAAATTATTATTTCCAGGAATTTATTACGAGTAGAAAAAATATTGTGCTGGGTTGGCGTTAGTTTCTATGTAATTTGACAAACAAATACAGCTGTCTCTTTAGTTGTCAGTTTTGAGTCAATATTTTTTAATTCTCCTTCGTGTCGATTGCTGATTGAATTGGAGCCAGAAATGGCTCAAAACGAAATAAGTAAATTACCAACAGATATTCAGGCTGAGGCTACAAACGCCATATCCAAACTACTTCCATTTCAATCCCAAATAACTTATGAAAAGGAATATAAAAATGTTCAAAAAGGGAAGCAATTAAAAAACCTGCAAGATGAAATAAAGTTTTTAACCTATGCTCGCTGTTAAAGTATCATTTAATCTACCTTTGAGGTTAAAGTATTATTTTATCTACTATTTTTGATAGATATAAGGCAATTTTAACGGTTGCTATGGTAAAAAATCGAAATGACGCGAAACAGAGTGCCATCGAAAAATTCAATTAAAAATCTCGCATTTTTGAAGTTTGCGATGCTTTGGTTGATTTGGAAATACCCTCGCTATCCTAAAAGAAAAACCCATTAAATGGGTCCGATGTGGACGATGACTTAGATCGTTTTCAGTCATCTTTGATGTCGATACGACTGGCCAATCGATGGCCTCGTTCTGCAGACCCTTTTGCTGTTTAATCGACTCAACTAATCGGAAATCTGTTTTATATCTCAAGCTTTTTGATGTCGAAAATTAGAGATTCCTTATATTTATTGGTTCTTTTATAGTTGTATATTGAAGGCTATTAAATCCAAAATTAAAATCGATTATAAAATATTTCCGATTTTTCCGAATATCTTCGGGAGTGTTCGCATATTTTTAATTTGTTAAACGACATTAAATTCGTCATCAAATTTCTCAATTTTGCCATAATTTGACCTCTTGTATATTAGATAATATATTCTATTTTTAAATGTATCCAGTACATACCGTTTTTTCTTTAGGAGTGTAGATGGTAAAAAAACAACTATTTTATTTTGTAGATTTTCTTACAGTTGCGAAATACCCATAGGACTTTTTTTGAGAACTAAAAATTTATTAACCAAAAAAATTTTAATACCCTTAATGAAAAACCGAAAGAATTTCTGTAGGGATTTAAATTTTAATAAATTCATAGCCCTTCGACATTAATAAAACTAATTTATATTTAATCCCAACAATTTTTTACGCAAAATACGAATCTGGAAATCAAAACGAAGCGAAAGAAAATTAAATAACTCGCTCCGAGGGCCTAATTTATCAAAAAAAAAAAGTTTGTATTTATTTTTGGCCAAAAATTAAACTTAATTTTCATTTCGAGGCCGGGTAAAGTGGGCTCGGGCATTTTAAAAACCTATAAAGCGGGAAATTTTTCTCTTTAGCGTGTCATTTCCTGCCCTTTACCTAGTTAAACTTTATAATTGGAAGTAAAAGTTAAGCTAAACGGCCAATGACTGGCTTTTTTATGGTCGCATTATGTAAATTCCTTTGGACATAGTATTTAACTTTTTGTATCACTTTTCCTTTTGGTATACTATGAAAGAGCCATTAAGGCTTTATTCCATTGTAAAACCAGGTTAACCAAAATTTAAAAAAATATATTTTTTTTTGTTTAGCTAAAAATATAGTTCTAGTGCAAGAAATAACCAAAAATTCTAAATTTTATTGAAAAAAAATATTTTCAATTTTATTTCATGTCTATTAATTTTTCGGTGAAAAAGCAGTGTTGCCTGTCGCTATTTCACCAACGGATGATAAAAGCAGAGTAAGTAAACCGACGAGTAGCGACAGTCCCGATTTCAACTTTTTTTGCGGCTGCGCGAAATAAGTACGCTATCTGTCATATGAAGAAGCGAAGTTGCCACTGTTGCCATTTATCAAATATCTCTACATACTTTATTTCAAGTATGCCTCACGCAACGAATCATTTTTTTAATTATTTGTTAGCTGTAAGACATTTTATACATTCAAATTTAGAAATAAGGATAAAACAAACAAAAAAAATTGGCGCCGGGAGGCACGTATAGCCGCCCATACTAATATATGGTAATATCTCGAAAACTGCGACTTTTACTGATTTTGATGTTATTACAAATTTTGTTGCAAATATTATTCCTAATCTTAATTTGAAAACCGCGTTTTGCTAGCTACTGTAATTTTGGACTTACGATTTTTTAAAAATTTTAACCCCCTCCCAAATATTTTTTATATTTTTAAATGAATACAAGTGTTTTCTAAAATTTCTTTTATTTTACAAACTTTATGGAAATATATATTTTTATTTTATTCCAAAAATATTACTGGCAAAATTTATTATTTTCATACTTCAAATAAAGTTTTTTGTGTGCTTCAATCAAAGTTTTAAATAAAAGCAACACAAAATCAACATTTAGTTTACATTTTTTTTCAATTTTAAATCGGAATATTTGACCAGAAACCATTTAAAATATAGATTTTCATAAAAGGCAAATCCTTTTTTCCTCTCTCATTTTTATATTATTCTGCAGCCGGCTGGGAGCTGTAAAAAACAAGCGTTTTAAAATTCATAAATATGTAAATTTTACTGCCATAGACCTTTTTTAATAAAATATAGTTCCACAAATTTAAACAATATAAAAAGAGCTTTTTTATTTACGAGCCATCAAGACAAGTTAATTTATATTGAAATATTTTGTATGAATATATATATATATATATATATATATATATATTTGGATTTAAATGAAAAAACATGCATATACAAATATTTATTTAATTTATTTAAAAAATATATAGGCAATTAATTTATGACGTGTTTTAGTTTGAGATTTTCATTTTTATAGGGATGCCCGGAGATTTTTACCTCGGAATTCAAAATGGTAAAAGAAATAGGGGTTGCCACTTAAAATTTTAGGGGTAGGTGCCCTGGGGGTTAAAGGGTTGAAAGTAACACCA